TACTCAGGCTGACTGCTTCAGTGACTGAAGTTCCACTAGCTGAGTTTGGACCAACTTAGGATCAGCAATGCTTGGACCTGCAAGTTCAGATTTAATACTTCATGGTATTTAACACAGCAGGATGCTCAGGTCCAGTTGTGCAAATAGACAGTTTGTTTATCTGAGGAGCTTCTATCAGACGATCTCTAAATAAATATTTACGGTGGCTGGAACACACAGTTACGGCTCTGAAGAAACTTTGATCAAGAAAAATGTCACAACAGGAATATTAAATCTCACACTTTAATATGTTCGATGATATTTTGACTGATTAACTCTGAACAAGAGTTTGAATATTTTGAGAAAATAAGTCTCTAAAATCCGTGATTGATCAGAACAGAATCAATTGTGAGACTTAATTCTCAAGACATGGATTTTCCAGTGGGTGGGTGGTAAAGGGACTTGAAAAGTCAGCTGTTTTATATCCAAGCTGGACAAAAATGCCTCAAGACTCACCAGAATTTAACAATGGGAAACATGAATAGGGCATTTTATGTTAAAATTCACAAAGAGAAACACATTTCGCCCACCAAGTTCACTCTGCCATAAGCTATTCCATAAACCTAAGTCTACCACTCCCATGACCCACTTCCCTGCCTCTCTGTATAGCAGTTAATATTTCAATTTCCCCAAGTATCTGTCCAGCTCTCAATCAATTTAACATCAATGCATTTTTGGGACAAGTCATAATCGACACCCTCTGAGAGAAGAAATTCATCCCTGCCTCAGTTCTCATCTGTTTTGCTTTAATATTAAGGTTATGCCCTCTTGTAATTGACTAACTCTCCAGAGGAAAATGTCACTCCCTGTTTATTTTGTTGAATGACTTCATAACGCCCCAATTAAATTACCCTTACCTTCCTTAACTCTAAAGAATATATCCCCAACCTATCCAGTCTTTGATTATAGTTTAGTCTCCCTGCAGCCCCCAGCACCCCCCACCACGAAATTACCTTTGTGAATGTGTGCTGCACTCTGTGTTGATTTGCTCAAAACACATTACCAGTGATCAGACTCACCAGTGCCTTTTGCAAACCCAATAGAACTTCCTGTTTTAACACATCTTTTGTGTTCTAGTCCTACAAGCCCATTGAGAAGTCCTTGTGACGTGAAAGGAGCTATATAAATGTAAATTGTATTGTATCTCGCTTTGAACCTCAATATCTCATTAGGCTTTTTTTTAATAGCTTTCCACTGTGACCTAACAACTGCCAATGATTTATTTTGGTCAGTGTGAGTACCAAGCGTGTACCAGCAATAGACAGAGATCAAGGTTTCTTCCATTCTGCTCTGATATATATAGCTGCAACTGAGCACAATGACCAAAATTGAACAATTTCTATTTCCCAGTGATGACTTTCTGTTGCATTGATGAACACATAAAATTTGCTAATATTTCACAAGATCACTAGAGAAGTTTGTATGAAGGAGTCCCTTTAGCCCAATTGATCTCATCCTTCCAAAATATCCACTGTAATATCTTCCCATCACAGCATCAGACTGTTTCTTAAATGAGCTCAGCATCCTGGTCTTAACCAAGCTTCCTATTGACATGATCCTGTCATTAAATACCCTGTGAATAAATATTTTTTTTCCTGGCGTCTATCTTGAAATTATCCATCACAACCCTGAACCTGCAGTCCCTAACTATCTCAATTACTATTAACATGTTACACAATTCCATAGGATCTCCTCTGAGACGATTAAAAGGAAAAAGAAAAAGAAAGTGGCTCCAAGGTCATAACATGTGTCGCTCAACTGAATAAGGAGTATCCTTGAATGGAATTTCAGACTGCATCTTAGGAGTTTTAATGTTAAAAAAACATTTTGGGGAGTCTGAATAGTAGGTTGTTTCTTTTTAAAAAGAAATGTCCTCGCCTTATATCCTTAACCACACACACCTCCTCGCTTTTCTTTCACAGTCTCGCTTTATCAGGGCTTAAACCCAACTCCTCTGAAACTCCTCTGAAACATCAATTCCTTATTCTTTTGATTGGAAAGTCTCTCTGATGGGTTCCTGCAGCCAATGCACTTTCCCCCAGAAGAGACATAATCAGCTACAGTATTGCACCAACTATGTCCTACTGTGTATAAGAGGATCAGTTTTACTTTTTTTTAGTAAATTTAAGAATATTTAATTGTGGGTCTTCATGACATGACCAGTATTAATTTGTATTATTAATTTGTATTATTGTGGAGTCCTGTAGCTCAGTGGTTAGAGCACTCGCCTCGCAAGTGAGAGGACCTGGGTTTGATTCTCGGCAGGGCAAAACCTTGGGCAAGTTTCCTTACTCCACACCCCTCTGTTTTCCTAGCAGTAAGTAGGAACCCAGTTTTAGTCAATTGATGGACTGCTTTTCCAGGGGTAATAATTCATTAAAATTAATAATAATTTGGTCACTCAATCCACGACTGTTTGTGGGACACTGCTGGGCGCAATTGGCTGCCGTGTTTCGCCCACAAATACACAGTCAATTCACTTTACGGTCTATTCCGTGAAGCGCTTTGAGACGTCTAGAAGACATGAAAAGCGCTATATCAAATGCAAGGATTATTTTATTATTATATTCTGTGAAGCGCTTTGAGACGTCTCAAAGACATGATAAGGCGATATATCAAATGCAAGGATTATTACTGTACATTATTGTGGTATATTTGATCATAATCTGTATTGAATCTGTATTGAATTCAATAAGTTTTTGTTTCTTGGTGAAGCAGAATTGTTTATTTTTGTGGCTTATTTGCCTGGTCAGTGTGTGTGTGTGCGTGTGTGTGTTTTTAAAAAAAGAAGAAAATGGGGTTGAACCCCTTACCTTTTAGGCTGTTCCATAAAGCAACTGATGGTGAAAATAAAAAGCGTCGATCAGCAAACGGCGGGCGATGCGGGTAATTTTTTTTTGCTACGAGTTGCAGGTTGTCTGTGGCCCCTGTAGGTGTCAGACAAGCTCATGATCCTGGTTGGCTTCAGCACTGATGTTTGCTGCACACTGCGAAAACCACTGCGGGAAAATTTACACTGGAATTGGATGTGGAGGTGGAGGGGGCAGAGAGACAGAGAATAACAGGCAAAAAAGAGAAAGAGAGAAGAGGGAGCAACGAATGGCACCATATTTTATAATGTGCATTTCTCAGCACGCAGTTGATCTTGAGAAAACTGGCAGATTTTACCCTTGCAAGCTATTGCTGTTCTCTATTGCTGTTGCTTGCCCTGTGTGTGTGTGTCTGTGTGTGTGTTTAAAAAAAATCTGAGGACTGTATTGCAGAGGTGTCGCTGCAAGATGCAGAGTAAGAACGTGATCTCTTTGTGAAATGCATTTTAATATTTCACACCGTCTATTGGGGGAAGGAAAAAAAAAGACTATAGTAGTAGGGATCGCAATAACCCACCCAACGCCTTTCAGACATGTAATGTTCTTTTATTAGAGTCCATTTAAAAGTCAATGAGCTAAATGCAGGAATTCGATCACGTCTGCGATGGTATCATTTTGAGTGATGTTGTAATTCAATATCTGCGTGTAATATTAGCAATTTTAACAGTCTGACTGCCTGTTTTCCACATTATGCATATGGATGGATGGACTGTACATATTTAATGTCTCGATGTCCGGAACATACACAAGTAGTTCGGTATATAGGCATTGACTGACATACTCGCACATGTTGAATAGACAGATTTCAATGTTGATTTGAGTGCACCAGAGAAACAGGGAGCACAGTAGGTTTAAGTCTGCCGATGGAGTATGTTTTATTTTACAGATTGAAACTCCCAGCTCTATCAGTTCCGTCTGCTGATGATGTGGAGTGTGAGCATCCCCTACATATGATCAATACGTTCCCCTGTTTGTGAAAACATTTTAGAGCTGGGGGAGGGCTCTGATCCTCCTGAAGATCCAAATGCAATAAAATAATGGGAAGACAAATGGAGTAGAAATGGAGTGTCGTGACTTTTTGTCAGGTATTATAGTACAAACGGTGACACCCCTCTGTGCATTAGACGCAGGTTATTTATTTGTTAGACGGTGTCTATGAACTGGATGATGGGGAGGGAGGGAGGGAGGGGGGAGATCGGAAGCATTGTAGGTGTAATTTAGTGCAAACTGACAGGTTGTGGCGCACACTATTTCAGCACATAATTACATAATTATTATTCAGAGAGATAGAGAGAGGGAGAGAGGTGGGGGAGTGGGGACATCTGGTTAAGAACAAGGAACCCAGGCACTAAACCATCCCTCTCTGCCCGGACACTCAGTGGATCTCCACCGCCTCTCATTGCCAAACAACCTCACGTCCAACACCTTCCACCGTCTTCTCTCTTTTTTTTTGTAACTTTTTTTTTCCTCTCCCTTCCCCTCCCTCTGTAGCTTTTGTTTTTCACCCCAAAACGCTCCATCCTCCCCTCCTCCGTGCGTCACCGCACGTCATGTGCACCAGCTTCCCGAATTGGATGTGAAATACTAATAGTTTGGTGGTGGAGGGGAGGAGTGGGGGTGGGAGGAGGGAGGGGAAGGGGGAGGTGGTGGTGGTGGGGGGGGGTGTGGAGAGAATTAAATGAGATCAAGCAAAACCCACCACGGGCAGCCGGTCAAGTTGGTGGCATTAAAGCGCCCAGACCATTGGGGCAGGAGAGATTGCACTGTACATCTCTCTGTGGCCACACTTGCTCCATCTCTCTCTCTGTCTCTCTCTCTCTCTCTCTGTCTCTCTCTCTGTCTGTCTGTCTGTCTGTAGGGGCAGCTCTCTCTCTCTCTCTCTGTGTGTTGTGTGTAACATTTACACCATTCAGATCGCCCCTCTGGGACTACAGAGGGAGGGAGGGAGGGAGGGAGAGGGAGCGATCTTTTTTTTTTGGCAGGGAATTTACAAAGCTGAAGCCACGGTTTAAATATCTTGTTTATATGTTGCAGATCTCAGAGAGGGAGCGGACACCACTGTCCATCTCCTCTCTCTCTCTCTCTGTCCCTCTCTCTCTCTCTGTCCCCCCCCTCTCTCTCTCTCTGCTCTCTGTGTGCCTGGTTTATTCCCAATCCACCCACGGATTAACCTCGATCTGCCCGGAATTTCTCACAAGAACCTGCTGCAAAGATCCTAACGAAATACGGATTGAAACAACCCCCCCACCGCGTTTCCCTGAAGGGGTGGGGGAGAAGAGAGAGACCCAAATCGCCTCGGAACTGGCGTGTGGGAAGGCAGAGAGGCGAGGATGAGCTCCTCGGATGGGCGCTGTGGGTGTGACAGGCTGGGGAGGTCTGCGGTGTGTTTGCTGGGGGTTTTGCTGGGGGTCGGGAGCCTGGCTCTCGCCTGTCCTTCTTCCTGCAAATGCATCAGCGGAAAAATCACCTGCACAGAGCCCGGCATCGTGGCTTTCCCTGTCCTCTCCTCTGCAGCCGAGATGGAGAACATCACTGAAATGTAAGTGCATTGCTCTGCCGAATGGGCATAGGCAATCTAACTGCAGTAAACAACAGCAAACATGTTTATATATATATATATATATATATGTATCCTTACCCTTAGTCGGATTACTTTCTTTTTTACTGGCAGTTGAATTATTTTAAAGACAGCCCGTGCCAGGGGGTGAGGTTAACTCTTAATCTAAATGTTGTCCAACATCCCCCCCCCTCAACTGCTTGTTCAAAGTAACTATGGTAGTATGTTTGGGGAGAGAGTTAGCAATGACAGCTCTTAATACCAGTATCTTTATTTATGAAGATCTTCTATACCGTATTTCTAATGTGAAACTATAAGGGGAAATCGCTTTGGAAGGGGACCCCGAAATCCTCAGAGAGGGGAACCTGGTTCAGGTTTACTTTGAAACAAATCACCAGCTTCGCTCTGAGCAGAAATTGCTGTCTGGTGTGTTTTGTTCAACAGCCTTAACCTACTGTCAGGTGCAGATTGCCAGACCAACAGGTTTAGCAAGAATAGTCAACTAATCGTCATTTTAAAGAAAAACAATGAAACCAAGTGGTATTCTCTGTGCGTTGCTGAATAAGTTAGTTACTTCTGTGCAGTCTAGTGCCCTTATTAGCTATATTTACTTGCTGGTGTCTGACTGGTAATGGCAATAATGAAAAAGGCTTTGGCATAGCATGTGGGGTTATTTCACTTCAAATCCTTTCAGGGAGCGAAAATGCATGGAAGCCTATTAATTATTAATTAATTATTCTATTAAATCTCCGGGTCAACGTGAAATATGATTAATAATAACAATAATAATTATTGCCTTTGATACAGCGCCTCATCATGTCATTGAGACGGCCCAAAGCGCTTCACAGAATATACTGTAAAGTGAACTGACTGTATGTTTTGTGGGGGAAATAGGATTAAGGACAATTTTAAAAAATACGCTTCACAACCCGTACATTTTTTGTTCTGGTTGAATCGTTCCTTGTGCCTAAGGGGTCAGGATAAATTGCTATCTATTCAGTGCCAGAACCTTTGCGACGTTGGGAGGTGGATATTTTGTTAAATGGTGCATTATTTTGCACCCTGGTGTGACATTTCTGGGGATATTCAGGCGTTGCCATTATTGCAACTGCCAATAAGAGGAGATCTTTAACAAGTTCATTTAGATATACTGTACACACCTTATTGCGATTTCAGTGACATTAAAGGGTTTCTGACTTTTGCAACACTGGCGTTCAACAAGTCTGCTAAGGATAGAGAATGGGGATTATTTCTGGATGTAATGTACATTTGTGCACTTTGACTGCTACCCTCCGATCTCGAAAACGGAATGATTTATACACAAAAACAAAACTGGAAAGAGATAGGGAGAAAGTGTGCCATGCTACCGAGTTAGTCCCCAGAGGGTGATCAGTAGGACAGACAGAGAGTGAAATAAAACTGGCCACTTACAAAAAAAAGCGCATCATCACCCAGAATCAACCAACCTCTTTTCCCATCTCTCTCTCTCTCTCTCTCTCTCTCGTCCTCTGTCTATTTCTCTTTCCCTCCCAGTCCCTCAAATCTTCCCCAATTTCTCTCTTGGGTTCCCACCGCCTCCCATCCCTCCCATCTCTGCGCCTTATCTCTTTCTCCCATTGCAAAGCAATGGAGACAGCAGTCTTCTGGTGTATCCTCTCAGTCATTCCCAGCGCTGAGTTGAGCTGAGCTGAGCTGAGCTGAGCGATGACACAGTCTCCCCGCAATCACAGCGCCTTTTGCCCCACAGGTCCGCAAAAGGCAGCACCAGCGTGTGAATGCCAAGAGGGTCAGGCACCAGTGTCCTGAGGAACCACCCGGGCTGGGTTTGCCTCTGAGGTCCAGCTGGCACCTCGCCTGGCGTTTTATTCTCCGTATGAATCAAAAGGGATTATTAATGAGATCCCCAGACACCAGTTCAGCTCAGTCACAGAGCGCCGACCCGCTTTATATTGCCACATCCTTTGAGATCCAAGTCAAATTCGGGCCAAAAAATCTGTGTGTTTTGTTTTTTTTAAAAAAACCTGAGACAAATCGCAATTACATTTTTTATGGTTGGCAGGTTTTTTTTTACTGCAGGACAGACGCAGATATTAGCGTGTGGAAGCCAACTCTTTCTGCGCTCTTTGAGGTCTGCAGTGGCACTGCACATTTTAAAGCAAACAGAATATATAGTGTCTTCAGTTTGGTTTTACTGGGAAAATGTCGATTCTTCTGTGCAATAAAACAGTCGTGACCCCTGTGAGCTACAAATCCGGTCTCGTTGAGTACTGCATTATTTATGTTTTACACAGGATGAAACAAATATATAACATTTAGTGGGATGTGCAGCCAAGTACTGGATGATGCTGTGTGTGTGAGAGAGAGTCCACTATTTGTACTATCACTCTGTCTGTCTGCCCGCAATTTCATGTTGGCTGCAGCTATCCTTTAAGCAAATCTTTTGACGGATCACCCCCCACACCCCCCCTCCAAAAAAAGGCAAAAAACAAACAAACAAACGAACAAAAAACTGAGTGATTAATAAAAACGAAAACGGAAAAAAAAAACTTGCGATAAAGGTATTTAAAACAGGAATGGTCCAAACTCTTCAAAGAAGACTAATTTCTGCCTTCACCAGCAATCCTTGTGTTTCTAGCTCTCACAATTTGATCGGAAAGCAAAATGATTTGGGGGCTGGTGGGGAGGGGGTGGGGGCTGGGGGGGGGATTCAGTAACTGTGCCCAATATAAGAGGGGCTTCCCATTTTGAATGGGTCGATAGAGAGTTTAGATCTCTTAGACTTAGACTGGATGTTGCTTATACGCTATAACCTGGTTATTGTGGGCAACATGTTCAATGTTGGAGGCAGTATCGGGTTTGATTTAACATTGACCAAGCAAACTCATCCCTATTTTATTGGGGGGGACGGGGTGGGGGGACGGGACGGGAATAAAAACACACGATGCATGAATATCCATTGCAATGTTATGGTGAGCCCAATGGACTGGGGTCTTCAGCCTCCAAAGTAGGTTAAAAAAAAAATCTCCCAAGCATGTTTCCATCAATGCAGCCACCCTTTAAATCAACTTCACCACTGCTCTTAATTTAAAATTGAAATTAAAATAAATATCGTGCGTATTTAGAAGGGTTGCACAGTAAAGCGCCCCCTGTGTAATGCAATGCACTAAGATGCAGCAACAGGGTTGCAGATGAGTATTTGCTTTAACTGGGGACAAACTAACGTAGCAGAATAATAATAATTATTCAGGACTGACTGGGCTTGAGGTTTGCTTACAGACTGTGTTGGCTGTACATAGATAAACAGGAATCAATACGGAACTGGGTAAAGATGTGGTGCACAAAAATAGACTGGAGCTGTGAAAATAATCCCAAACTGTACTGATGGCTTTGTTATAAACAGTATTTGGTGAATTTACACGTTGCACTGATTGATTGTGGCACAACTCAACTCGGTATTTGCAACACTTTGGCTAAAATTCACGCTCAGGAAAATGATCGATGCTGCAAGTCTCACAGGGAAAACTGAAATCTCTTGTGAGAAAAGAGCTGGGATTCAAGCAGAGGGGCAGCAGAAAGGCAACGATTAATCAAAAGAGAAACGATGAAAGTTGGGAGTTTTCGTTAATAGTCTAGTCCTAAAAAAAGCCATACGTTTACCCAAAAGAACTGCCTAAAGTTGCTTATGTGTTACAGTAATATGATTAATCATTTCCGATCATATTTAAATGACATCCCTTTCGCTCTAGAAATATATAATCCTTTGAAGTAAACTATTCATCTGATATGATTTTAAAAAACTACTTTAGTAAATTAAGAATGCATACACTGATGCTAATGTGTATCCACTCAGTGGTATGTGCCATTAGATCTGTGACTGTTGCGTTCCAAATGAGAGAAAATACAGCTCTACAGAATAGTTAGGCTGTAAAATTATTTTAGATTGTATTTAACTTCCACCCAAAGAGCAAACAAACTTCATGTATACATAACTTGTGCAAGTAATAATGCTCTTAATCGCTTGTTAAATATTACAATATAGTTAGAAATTTAGTTCACGGTTTAAATGCACATATATTTTCCCACTCTTTTTGCTGTGAATGGCTTTTTGCGACCTTGGGTATCTGCAGTTAAATTATTAAGGAGGCAGTATAATGCTTTTTGTGGTTTGGGTTTCCTGCAGTCTAGATCAAGGATAATGTGGTACTAGGGAATGTATTCAGCCTTCCTATCCTTGAGAGTTTACAATGTTACCGTTGGATATGTAAGATTTCCAGGGAATTGGTGTCAGTACAAGTATGCATTTATACCTGTCACAGAGAATCTGATGTCCATGTAGAATATCAGAGAAATAGAGAAGAGACCAGATGGAGGACAAGGGAGAGAATATGAAGAGAAATATATGGAAACAAAAAATGAGTGAAAAAAGCAGAGTTAATGAGGAAGAAAGGGACAAATAAACGTGCCAAGAAGGGTGGAGAGGAAAAAAGGCAAATTATATAGACAGTATGACACATTGGAGAAAACTGTGACATTTGGAGATTAGAAAGAAAATGGAGTACCGGGTAGTGAAAGAGATAAATCAAGAAGGGTCAGAAAGATGGAGAAAAAGAAACTGCAATAGTTTTCATATAATACAGGAAATCATGATGTTACAAACGAGATGAGTGAAAAGGAGCTATTCTGACTTATGAAAATACAATATACCACAACTATTCAAAGGATTCTCAGAAGCAGTTCTTCAGTAACATGTGGTCCCAATGCAAAGGCTTTGTCTTCATTATCATTAATCATTTCCCATTAGGATTGTTACAGTGTTTGTTGTAGATATGTTGACCCACTTCTAAGTGCCCTCCCTGCGATTGATACTAAAGAGAAGAGAATGAGAGCAAACAAAAGGAATATTAGGAATCAAAGAAAATTATTTTCAGATACAGAATGTCATCATCAGAAGAAGAGGGCATTGATCCAGGATTCCAAAGTTT